TGCCCATAAAGGGCTCACATCCTTATAGAGGAGGCAGGAATTATTGAAAATGTATGCAACAGGTGATAAAAGCCCACAGAAGTTGAAGTGGATGTTGTGATTTAGCTCCCTAGACCTCTAGGCCATGATTCTTTCAGCTACAAAAGTTGAAAACTGAAAGCTGTGTTCTCAATCTCCCACACTGAGGGTTATACATGAAGCATGATTACACACCTATAAGATTTTAGAGGCAGAAGAGAGGTGGTGACCATCTGCCTGCTCCTCTTGGCTGCCTTCCTCCTGGCAAGAATGGTCCAGGAAACATGATGTTTTCCTACAACGGCATTTGAGGGTCCATCCTCCAGTTTACAGGCATCATCGAGAGGCAGAGAAGGCAGCTTCTTGACTCCTAATATAAATTTGCAGTTTGCTCTTGACTACATCAACAGTGGTAGCTAAAGAGATGAGTGCTCCCTCCCCAGTGGGTAAATTCCATATGTTTTCTGAGCATAATCACTGACAATCCAACCTAGTAGTACTTTCTCAGGAGCATTTATAAGCCCTTTATTCCCTCTATAAAGTGCCCTCCTGTTTAAAATACCTATGGTGGCAGACTCTATTTAATCTACTACTTTAACAATCCTAAGCCTTCCTGAACTTTCTTAACCTCAAACCCCCAGTCTGTGGAGGACAGTAAACTTGAAATGGAATTGGCTCATGGAAAGTGTCTGGGCCACCTCAAAAGCCAATCTCAGATTTCAGAGATCTTCTCTTATTTCATCAAGAAACATGAACAAGCAAGGGCCTTACTGGGTTAGAACAAAGTGAGGAGAATGATCTCCCAAGGCATAGTTTCAAGAAAACTACCCACTCAAATTAAAAGGAAACAGAATACCCACATTCAGAGTAAGTCTTTGAACAGAAGAGTATGTGTCCTAGATGTCCCATACCAGTCTTCAGTCTGTTCAAAGGTCATGAATGAAGATTTCTAGGAAATATATTTCTCATATTCTCAACTTTCAGCTGGACATGAACATGTCCTGAAATGAATCAACCTGCAAAAATGGAGCAGGTATTTTTGTTTCTGGGGACAATGGCTAACTAATTTTATCTTTAAGAAGGAAGCAGCCCTGACCGGATTGGCTCAGTAGATAGAGCATCAGCCTGTGGACTCAAGAGTCCCAGGTTCAATTCCGGTCAAGGGCATGTACCATGGTTGTGGGCACACCCCCAGTAAGGGGTGTGCAGGAGGCAGCTGATTAATGTTTCTCTCTCATCAATGTTTCTAACTCTCTCCTTCTTCTCTGTAAAAAATCAATAAAATATGTTAAAAAAAAAATAAAAAAAAAAAAGAAGGAAGCAGTGTCCAGTGTCCAGCTGACGTGGCTCAGTGGTTGAGTGTCGACCTATGAATCAGGAAGTCATGGCTCAATTCCAATCAGGGAACATGCCCATGTTGCAGGCTTAATCCCCAGTGTGGGTCAAACAGGAGGCAGCCAATCAATAATTATATCTTATATTTGATTTCTCTCTCTCTCTCTCTCTCTCTCTCTCTCTCTCAAATCAATACAAATACATTTTTTTAAAAAAAGAAGAAGGAAGCAAAGAATATACATGAATGGCAGAAATGCTAGAAAATGGTTAATGAGGAATGTTGTCTATAAAAACCATCTTGTGCCAAAGAGAGAGCAACACAGACTCAACAACTAAGAGGAAGAAACTCAAGTAGAATACTGGTGAAGGGCCAAGCTGTGGTCCTGAGGCCACAGGAGATGTCAAGTGTCCAGACTTCATGCCCATAGAAACAGAACTACCAGCCAGTGTCCCATAGATTAGCATGCTTGGTGAGACTGCAAAGGCTGGTAGCAATCACTCGTTCCTCTGAACAGAGCACATAGAATTCAGCAGGAGACAAAGAAAAACTCCTGCCGCCATGCTATTGACAGTGAGTTATCTGGGGTGATATCCAAAATATTGCAGTAGTGTGAGAATCCTAGTCTCCATATGCAACCTGCCAAGGAAATATTGTGATGTTTTCCACAAAATAACTTGTATCTCTATCTCTGATTTCCCATGACGTTTTAAATGAGATTGGTAGGGTGCATTCTTCCTTGCCCAACTAAAAACACAGTTTTCCTAGAAAATCTGCCTCTGAAACAAAGGAAAGCATTCGTTAGGCCAAGCTGAACAGGAATTGCTGCTCTTCATCCAGCCAGCAACAGACTGTTTCTGCCTGTGAAGTTCTTGAGCACCTCCAGAAGCTTTGTGCCAGTGGGAGATACTGCAAAATTGCAAATGAAGGCTCAGAAGGGTTTGGGGTTTCCACACAGCCAAATCTCACAGCCTATGCCAGGATGTTTGAATGCTGTGGGGGTTTGAGGTTATTATCACTGCTCTAAATTCCCCCAGGCTTCATTTTTAGCCCTTGATTAAGCTTTTTTCCCAGGTTTTCTATTTCTTCATGGAGCATTCCTCCAGATTCCTCATTATAGGACTTTTAGGAATCTTCTAACACCAAAGGGAATAACTGGAGCCTGCACTTTGGGCTCTATTATGTCCAATGTGTTTTACAGACAGAAGATCTTAATGATTTGCTTCCACTCTCAATTTCTACTATGCTCAGACCTGCAGCCAAGAGTTCTGGGTTTTTCTTGCTCACAGAAATGTTCTGAAGGGAGTCTTCCAAGAGACTAAACACATGAAACCCTTACCTCGTTGTCTCCCCATCTTCACCCCTTAGAAAGGGGAGGATTCTCCCAATCAAAACCTTCTTGAGGGAGTACAGGGCAGCTATTGGAAAGAAGTATATTGGTTGCACCTGAAGCCTGGGCTTCCCTCAGGAGCTTAAGAAATATGTATATTCTGAGGGGAAACATGTTAATCACATTGGGAACATCAACTCCAGCCTCCAAAGAGAAGGTTTTATCTGGGGTGAAACACAGGCTTCCCTGGGGTCCTTCCTAATACTGCCCTATCTTCCTTAGTGCCTGCATTTCTCTTCCTCGATTCCTCTTCCATCTTCTCCTCAGTATGTCCTTCACCTTTTCCCATGCTCTCCCTGTTTCCTCTTCTACCAATTTTCCCTCCAGCTCTTTTCTCAGTCCTTCCTTCCTGCTTCCCTTTTCTCCCTCAAGGAGCTAATAGGCCTATGTTGTAAGCCTGGGTGGCTTTGATCAGGATTAAAGCTTAGAAAATAAAATAATTTGCAACAGGAGCATTTGCCTGCCATGCAATTCTGTTGTTTACTTCTTCTTAACCAGATTCAGCTAGTAGATTATACATTTGTTTCACTGTTTTCCTTTCTTAGCGAAGTACTTAAGAGATCCTGTGCTGTGTACACGTAATTATTTGTGTGGCCTACCCTGTATTTATCTGTTTATTTTTGCCAAATATTTCCACAGAATTCTCAGTGATTGGCTAGTTAAAATTCTTCTGCCTTAATGAACATCCAGCCTCCCTGTGCTGATAGAATCATCATTTATTCTTGTAAAAAGAAAGGTAGACTCTTTATCTAAAATTTTTTCTGACTTTCCTTATAACCTTCAGTTATCTCTTGGCCTTTGGCTTATCTGGAAAGGAAGCTAAGTAAAAAGCACATTACTTTGTTTCCAGAACTCTATTGACATGAAGATTTTTTTTTAATTAACTGTCCTGGAGCTATTTTTCAAAATCATCCATGAAAAGAGGCAGAGAATTCTAGTATATCACCCTAGCCATTTCATCATGTGCCCATGACATTTGAGCAGTTCTGTGATAGATCTGTAGTGCTGTGAGAGACAACAGGTCTGTGTCTTTGTCCTGTGAAGTTCTGAAGCTGAACATTACCATCCTTTTCTAGCCTCATTGCTCCTGAGGGCTCAAAGATGTCTTGTTATAGAGCCTGGGACAGACTTCATTATCTGACCAAATGGCCAAGGACAGTGGCAATCTTCATGGGACAGGCAAAGTTAAACTCCCCGCAGGGCATGCAATGAATCTGAGATGATGCAGCATGACCCTAATCCATATCACAGAAACTTCAATTCTCAAGTCATCTGTCAAAAGTGTGTGTGTGTGTGTGTGTGTGTGTGTGTGTGTGTGTAAAGATCCACATATGGCAACCAGGAAAACCGATACCCCAGTTTCTCCCAGGGAAATGCTTTTACTCGTGGCCACAATAACCAGTGGAATTGCACGTGTTGCATGTCAACATTGAGGTTTCTAAATTACACCATCTGAGTCAGTAATTCAGAAGGCGTCAAACTAATAAATATATACTGACCAATTTTCAGTAGAATGATGGCTTTTTAAAATAAATGCACATGCTCACTCCATCTTTAGTTTTCACCTGTCCCACTGTTACAGCCATCTAGTTTTGTTTTTTTATTTGTGTTTTTTTTTTCATTTTAAGACTATATAAAGATTTTGAATGCAGCATTTTCTACCTTCTCAAATTGCTATTTCCTAGTACAATTTTTCCCCCTAATACATATCCTCCAATAAACAGAGCTGGTTTTTATTTTGTTACATTCTTAAAAGGGGCTGTTTCTAAAGTGTAGCATCTTAATAAGAACAATGGCTTGTATTTGAAACATCACTTCCATCCACAGACTACTTTCATATTTATTACCTTATTATTATTTTGATTCACACAACACACAGGTACTGCCATCTCCTTCACTTCACAGATGCTTAATCTGAGAGTTGGAAAATGTAAGGCATATGCCCAAGGGCTCAGGGCTATTGAGAGCAAAGCTAATATCACATCACAGTCACTCTGACTCAGAGTCCAGCTTCCCTTCCACTCTCTGCCTCACCACTTCTGAATAAACATTTGATGAAACTGTGCTTCTGACAAGATCGATTAGTGGAAGACTTCAAACTTCAAATCACCTTCATGGACTCTCTCCCCTGAATTCCTTCTCACTTACTCTCAAAAAGGGCCACATATCCAAGAAATGAGCCAGCACACAACAAAAACCTTGAACCATCTGAAAGATGCTGATACAGTCATGAAGGCGGAATGAAGAGAAGCTACTTACCTCTTCACCTCTCAAGTCCTCCCAGCCATGATTCATATTTCCAAGGCCGCATTACAAGCCTAAGGTCAGCCCTTGAGCCTCCTGCCGAGGAGACAGCCAGTCTTCTTCCCAACACAGTCATAAATCTATACAAGTCAGAGATCAAGGAGGAAAGAACAAGGTTTTGATCACTAAATTATCCAATGAGCATGGCTGAGTAGCTCCTCACATTTGTAGAGAAGTATTTTCTTCTGCTCTTTAGCCAGAATTTCAAAGGTAATAGTTAATGTGGCTTGGTAATTATTACCATTTATACACATACCTCTCAAAATATGGTACATGGAAATAAGACATATGAGTAAAAATAGAGCAACTATTGACAGCTACATATGAACAAGAGAGATAAGGAGTAACTGAGGGAAAGAAAAGTCATGTCCTGAAATATTGAGGGGATGGCAGGAGAATATCAGGGTGTCAATTGAGATGACAAGTTACTTGAATCTAAGGTATCAACTTAGATTGTGTAAATGCAACTCCCCTTGCCATTTCCTCCTCACTGTCTGCCTGGAATTCTCTGCAGTCAGGCCAAACCCCAGAGTTACTCTATTTTCTCTGAAGCCCTGGCTCTCCCAAGAATCTGGGACTTTATGGTACTCCAGATGCAATAAAGCAATTGTTGATGCTTAATATCACATATTAATCTGAACCATTCTGGTAACAAGTGAGAGAAAACTAACTACTAACTCCAAGTCCACTGAAATGTAATGGACACACATAACAAAGGGGAGTGCAGAGGAGGAGCTGGCTATACGGAATGATGGAAAGTGGGCAATTAAATTATTTTCATTAGCTCACTCTCTCTCTCTCTCCCAGCCCACCACTACACCTCATCATTTTTATCTCATTCTCTCCTTACAGCCTGTGTCTTTCATGAGTAAGGGTGCAAAGAGTCCTGGGAAAGGTACATTTAGACAACTCCAGGTTTATACCATCCCTGAGAGAAAAAAGAAAATATATTACCATAACCAAGGGGATGGAGGATGTGGTACCATGATTAACAGGCCTAAGTCACATGACCACCACTGTGCACTGTGGTTACTACAGTTGTCCACACAACTAAAATCAAACAAGATAGTGTAAGGAAAACTTCAAAAAAAAAAGAGAGAAAGAGAGGGAGAAAGGAAGAAAACTTCTCCCTCCCTCCCATTAAAAAAGGAAATGATGATATTAGAATAAAGGTTAGATGATGAAGGAATTCAGAGAAAAACAAGTATCCTCCACAAGGCAGTCAAACTGTGGATCATCCTAATTATACATTTCATGGTTGTTAGTGGAAAATCAAGGACCGATAAACTCATGTGGCATCAGCCTGCACTGTATTCATGTGATCCATTTTTTTTTCACTGCCCATTAAGAAAATTCAAGATATGTTCCAATTAGGCTTCTGTTGAAAACTAAAAGCTACCAAATTTTGATAAATCTATGAAAACCAGATTATTCTTTAGTCTACAAGTCCTCATAAAAGCCATTTGCGGATTCATTGAGAAAGCAGAACTCTGAATCCACCATTTAAGATGTGTCTTTTTGGGTACAAAATGTAACTTGTAACTAAGGGAGTGTTATCATTTGCTGATAACAAACTAAGCTAGAAGCAAAGCTGGGGCTTTGGAGGGGAGGAGGCAGAGAGGGAGTCAAAGAGTACTTGCTTTCCTTGATCACATTCTTTACAAGTTGCCCTTTGAAACGATTTTAAAGGTAATAAGTGAGTTATAAGACTATGATGAAAATAAAGTCAGAGTCAAAGCAAGGCCCTAAAGACACCAAGAAAGCAATTAAAGGTTGGCATCGACTTTATATACTGGTTCTCCAGGGAACTAACAGCCTAGGCCTCACCCCTGCCTTTATAAGAGGTTGTTTATTCCTCTGAACCAAGCCTATGTTGGAGCCAGAAAAATGAAATGGAGCATTGAGACCATTATTTGGATACTGGAGGGGAACACACGCAGAAAAGAAAACCTAGGAAAAGTTCCATTCATTTGAATTAATTGAGATGAGCATTTATTTTTTGTTTAAATTGACCCTGTAATTATTTCCACTTTTTTCCCCCCATGAGGTATATAGAAACATAACCTCGAGGGCTAGTCCATTTATAGTAAGAAAGAATTCAGCACTGCTGAGACACCCTGTATCATTCACCCATGCAGGTCATAGAATTGATTCTCTCACAGAGACCAGCATATGGATTGATTTAGCAGCATTTCGCTGGCTGCCTTGAGACACGGTTTGAGTCATCCTGTATAAATTACTTAACTCTCCACCACAAAGAGGGGAAAAAATTGTTTTCTTGCACAGCAGTAGCAATTAATGTTCAACATGTTTATGGAGTTTAATAATATATGGCCCAGCACCAATCTCTGTAGGCAATACAATTATCTTGAGAGAGAAACTTAGGTGGTGTCATCAACATACATGATGCGGATGATTGATTCATCAATAACGGAGCCTGGCCTTATTATAGCAAACAAATTAGACATCATAGAATATATGACCATTTAGACAGGACTTCCTTTTCTTCAAATAGATGTCATAATTAATAGTGTGACCTTTTGGCAACACTGGAAAACAGCTTGCAATTAACAGGCCCCCTCTTCTTTGAGAGCTTGGTCCAGCTCAGTAGAGTGGAGCAAGGTCTGGACATCTCCCCAAGAGAGTGTTAGCCAGAAAAGTCAACCACTTCTTCATTTTTCTCATATTTCCTTCCAGAGGAATGCAAAAACAAAAAGGAAAGTTGTGAGTCGCCAACAAGTATTTATCGGGCCATTTCTGTGTGCCAGGTACTGTTCTAGAGCAAAGAGCAAGACAAAAGGAGCCCCCTCCTCACACCAGGGATGGAGAATGAGAACAGGCATGTAAACAAACAAATAAATACTAACAACATTCTGACAGCATGCGGAAGTTAAAATAGAGCTCCCTTGAATCTATGTATGTTTTAATAGCAAATGGGGATTTCAAGAATAGGAGATATTTTATGTATTCAGCATCAGTGTGGTTATATAATCCACAATGTAAGCAAGACCATGTTATTTTTATATTTTCTCTTCCTCAAATTTTAAAATATACTTCCAGTTCTGAAGAGGGATGGGTATTGTCTGTGATTTGATCATTTTAAAAGACTTAACTTTTTAAAAATAATTATTGTGGAGCTTCACAACAGCCCAGATAACAAAAATATAAATAAATAAGGTAGACTGTCCAACACTAAAAATGTATAATACAAGAAGTGTCAGGTCATATCACAATCACAGTATGACTAACATGCTATATCCGTGTAGTTTGAATCATTCATGGAACATAAGGTCCGCACATTTCATTCTTTTGAAAGTTTTTATCTTTGTAATATGATATAGATGATGTCTCTACAGATAAATTTAGTTTCATATTTAAAATAATTGTCCACAAACAAATCCTTTAAGATGAAATAGATAAATAGCTCAGACAAAAGTTCCTTCTCACATGAATTCACTGAAATCTTCCTTCAATTATTGACTCCAATTTTAGATATCAACTTGTCCCATTTATTTATGATGTAAGAATATTCCAACCCATGTGTTTTGGTGCTGAATCCCTTTGTAGCAGTAAACTGGGACAGTTGGGTTGGTTATGAAGTATATCCCTGTTATAGGTCATTTATCTGCACTGATTTATTCTTTCTTGTCTCCCATAACAATGCCATCTCCCTCCTGTAAATCTCAGTGTCCTTCTTGAGTGGGAAAGGAGAAGAGATGTGCAGTGGCCATGGCCAATGACCCTAGGCACATTCATGACATTCATGGGGACATGATTTGCAAATCACCATTATCTCTTATGCATGTCACAGCCACACACACACACACACACAAAAAGTCATGAACAATTGCACTAAATAAATACTGATAAAAATAATAACTAATTACAATATGGTACTTTAAGTAGTTTTTCTTTCTGACTCCCACTTCTTCCCAGAGTGAAGTGGTCCCACAGGCCTGTTCCTCCTCAGACCTTTTCATCATCCTTTTCTTGCTTGGCTCTGCAACACAGGGAGGCTGCCCTCCGTGGGCATCACTAGGCTGACTTCCACTGAATCAACTGAATTCAGACAAAGAAAGCAAATGGCAGAAGAATGTAGGGCAGAGGGAGGGGGAACCCAGGCATTACTCTCCCTGACTCTCTGCTTTGGGAATTATCTTTGGCAGGAGGGGTTCCAGCTCTCTCCAATTAGGTCTTTCTGAATTCCAGCTTCTAGCTGGAGGCCCCACACCTGTTGTTCTGATAACTCCACCTCCTCCTAGGATGGTAGCAAGTTCTGCTGCTGCTACTTTCTGGTTTGCCTCACTGTCCCCTATTCTCAGCTCTTCAATCATCTGTGCAAGGAATTCACAGTATTAAAATTCCTCCATCTTAAATAATCAGAGCAGTTTCTACTTTCTTGGGGGAATGGGTGGCAGGGGTTTGCACACTACTTAATACAGAGTTTTCAAGAATTCCATTCAGTTTGAGCATCTATGTATACCAAGTATTGAACTACACATCAGGGAGACTATGATACATAAGACACTGTGTCTACCACTGAGGAGTTCTGAATCTAGTGGACAAATCACTTCAAGATTATGTGATAAGCATTATAAGGAGTTGAGGCCAGAGGGTTCTGGCATCACTGAGACTGGCTCCTCGGATGGGTCTTGGGCTACTTAAAGTACCATATTGTAATTAGTTATTATTTTGATCAGGAAGCCTAGAGGAAATGCTGGTTGAGCTAAAACTTAAGAGATGAGAGATAGCCAGCTGAAAGATGCTAGAAGGAACTTCAGACAGAAGTAGCATGTGTAATTGTACCAAAGCATGAAATCAAATGCCCTGTGTTTCTGGGGTCGGTATTAGAATGGGGAAAGATGGAGCTGGTACAGAATGGAAGCAAAGTGGTATCACTGGACCTCAGGTATGTGGCCAGAGAATAGAAAGAGATAAGAGACAAAAGGCAAGAAAGGGGTTTGAATTCTCTTCAGTGCACAATTAGTAGAAATTGATGAGCTTTAAATCAGTATCAGCTTAGTCACATTTATAATTTATAATTTAGATAGATCACCTGGGCCACCTGTAATAAGTGGTAGCTCTAAAAAAGGCAAGTTACCCACCTGGCAGCATACATAGTTATTACAAGGTGGGTACTAGAA